GTTTTTGTTTCTAATGTCTCTGTAAAGCACTTTGAATCACCTTGTTGTTGAATTGTGCTGTACAAATAAACTTGCCTTGCCTAAATGCTTCTTTCACCACCATGTAAAACTATTTGTTTGAAACACTAAACTCTTAAACTTGCAGCCACTGTTCATGCAACCCAAGAGTGTACAGGGCTGTGAGCCTGAAAATCATCAGTGTTGGTTCCTAGTCCAGTTTTATCCACAGCATCAAGGTCATGGGCAGATCTTCTATGGGCGGTTCAGACCATCCAGAAAGGTCTCTGTGCCCCCTCTACACATTACTACTACTGAAGTAAACTGAAGTGATAGTGTTTGGTAATGACAGAGTTAAACATCGTCAGAGTGAGATCAAGCTAAACCTCATTCATCTGTAAATGTCTTTAAAGCCCGAACAAAAGGAAACGAGCAGAGATGAGACGCTTACACAGTCTCAGCGTCTCTGTCACCATCCAGGGGAAGAAACCTTTTGCACTTGTGCAGTTTCTGGCTGTATTTCTCTCCCAGTGCACTGAGACAGAGCGCAGGGTCACGACATGTCCAGTGTTAATGAATCACCCAGGATGACCCGAGCGCAGTGACAGCATCAGCCGTTTGCCTCTCTGCCAGAAAGGGCTCGGTTTCTATTAGAACAGATACTGTTACTCAGCAGTGCTTTTATTGTTTTGGTTCTTAACTTCGTCTAAAATAATAAAATGAAAGTTGTGTTATTTGTAACATAAAATGAAGGAATCATCAATAACTGCACATAAAAATGTTAGGGCAATATTTCTGTTTCATGTGTTTGAAAGAAAATAAATGAAAATAAATCCAATAATATCAGTAATCATCTTGTAGTACTGACTGAGTGTCACATTAGGTGACAGTGATCTCTGCAGTAAAATCTGTTAAAGTTTGTCCAGATCTTTGAAACTGTGGTTAGTTACACATGAGCAGTTACTGTTACTGGTTTCTGGTGTTTTCCAATAAAACCAGAGTGAATTCATACTGGACGGCTGCTGGCTGGCTTTTACGTGTGCACCGAACCACAAATGTCAGATTTAAAATATATTTTCATTTTAAATTGGAGGAACTAGTCAAAGTCACCACATTCCCGCTTCAGCGGCTCCTTTGTCAGCGGCTCCTCCGCGCTCTCCGCCCCGGGCTGGACTCACTCTGTGACGGCTAAGCTAGCAGCGTCCGCCCGGCCTGAGAGCGCAGCGCTGGTCCTCCTCCTCCCGGGCCTGCTGCCCCACGTACCTGCGGAGTCTGCAGTCCAGCTCAGGGCCCCGTGCTGCTGCTGGAGCTGCTCCTCGTACTGCAGGACGGTTTTCTCAAACTCCCTGAAGATTTCCTCCGCCGCGGCGCTCAGACGCTCCTTCACGAACAGCCTCAGATGCTGAAGAGCGGACATGGTTCCTCCAGCTGCTCCGCCGAGCCTCAGCGATACAAAACAACCTCCAGCTCCCAGCTTCCGACGTCCACACAGCTGTGAAGCTTCAGTCCACTTCCGCCGGAAGCTGCTTTTCCTTTAAAAATAAAACGCACTCTACGGAAGCTTAATGCATTCACTGGCCAAGAAATACAAATTAAATTATAAACATTTATAACAGAGTTTTTATGAAAGTGCTTTTGTCTTCTTATCCTATCCTTGGCATCCTCCTCTGAGCTCCTCCTCTGAGCTCCTCCTTTCCTCCTGCCTGTCAGCTCCATCTCCGGGATGCTTTGGTCCTTCCAAACCAGCTCAGCCTCGCCTCTAACTTCATCTTCAAACTGCTCCACCTGAGCTCCCCCTCTGATACACTCATTTCTGACCACAGGTATTTAAACTCATCCACCTTCAATGCCTCTGCTCCTCGGATCTTTAAAATAACACAATGTTTCTCAAGGATCAGGATATGAACCAATCACTGAAGAGACAAGGACACCAACATCTGCCAAAATAAAGTGGTATTCACCTTAGTGAGGGCTCATTATTGCTTACTAAAATCCCCAGATGCTCTTTGGGATTTTAAGATGTTATTAATTTGGAAAAAAGGGACACGATTCTTTTTTTAAATCAAGTGAACGGATCACTTCTGTCTGGTGAAATCAGGAAACTTTCTAAAAAATAAAATAAAACAACAAAAAAGTGCTTGAAAATGTTTCATCTATAGTGACTTTAATAAGCACAGGC